TAACAAACTTCCCACTAATGGTTTTATTCTCCCTTGGGCTTCTCCTAAATATAGGAACTTGGAAAACTTGCACCTTTCTCTGTATCATTTGCTTCTGTGGCCTGACCATTTACACAACTGAGAGTTCCACGATACAGGGTGTGGTAGCCCAACTACCTTACTTCAGTAAATGGGGATATATGTGTTTCCAATTAAGAAAACCACCTCTTGAGGCTATGTTATCACAACAGAATAAAATAATGTCTTCAGCTTTAAACCTATCTACAAAAGAAATTCATTACTTTGGCAAGGACTCTTAAGCAGTAGCATTTGCTGTTACGCTTTCCAAATTATTTTTTTTCCCCCCGATTTCCGTATTTTGTTAGTAAAAGTCTTTTCCTAGTTGTTTCAGGAAGTAAGTGGAATTTGAAACTCTTAACTCCATTCTCATCTCACAGATAGCCTGGACCAAAGCATTTGGCAATGGATATTCTTTTTATACATTACACGCAAATAAGCATGGGCAATAATTTAAAGAAACTGCCAGATCAATTTTCTGTAGGGCCCTATCTGAAATACTCAAAACACTGTATCAGATTATCCCTAGCCCCTGCTTAAATACTCTCCAGCGTCTTGATGTTATAATACCTTTATTTTGCATTTATTTAAAAAATCAAAAATACAAAAAAACCCCAAAAAGACACACTCTACTTTTCCTCCCCCTTACTACTAGTCTTTCAAAAAGAAATGCAAGCAAAAAGTCTTTTCATCTCCCCTAATGTAAACAACAAAATCCAGAATGCTTATGTATTTCTAGCAAAATTCAGCTGTCTTTTGAAGATATACTACTTCAAATGATACTAACTTTATAACATGTTGCTGACAGAGTAATAACAAAGCGTTTTGTAAGAACATAATCATTAAAATACAATTCCAGTGAACCATGAAGTGTTTCATGATACAATTCCTTACATGAAGTCCAATACAGTGACCCTAGGAGAAGGGAAAAGGGCTCAAAACAAACTGAGCAAAACAGGTCATGCATTTGAAATGCATGATAAGCCTTCGATATTCCAAAGTTTATGTTTTGTTTAACTAAACTGACTATCAGCCAGATTATTCCACATGCTCATGAACTACCACTTGAGCTATTACTCCAGTATTGCAGTGGAACAATCAATAGCATCAGAACACCAAAATGCCAACAGAAGAAAAAAACCCCAAAATTTCAGCATGAGTTAAAAATATCTAAGTAGAAAATTCCTAAATTACTTTTCCTTTGGTTGCTACACTAGTACCATTATTATAATAGTACCACGTATATAGAAATATTCAGGGAAATTCTGAAAGCGTTTAATCTTATTTTGCTTCCTCAAGGTTATTTTCATACCAATGAGAAATATTTACGCAGAAAGTAGATTACCAACATACTGAAAAAGGGTGCAACACAGAGGAGTGATCGGTCATCCAGATAGCTAAAACTTTCACCCAGGCTCCCATTCTCCCTTAACTTGATTACTGCTGGATGAATCATATTTCACTGTCAAAGCCCTTTGCAACCTGTCGCTATGACCACCTTCATCTCTCATTCACCGCAGAAATGCTGAACTGCTACTGTTAACTATACAGAGCCCATCTTCTACATTTTTAAAACAGCTTAGGGCCTTCTGCTGAGTTTTTTGCTCTTTGAGAGATATTTTCTGAAACATTCCACAAAGCTGTTCCAGTATCTTCCTTCAAAATCAGTTTTGATTTTTTTTTACTTTTTCCCCCAGAACATCTGTTCAAAAATGTGACATTATTGCCAGGGCTGTTGACTAATAAATAGTCCAACTGCAGGTTGTCACTCCCATTCCACTAACACCAGTTTTCAGCTGACCCAATGGTAAGCAAATAAACAAAATAAACTTGGAAACCCACCACAAACAACTCCCCAAACCTCCTATGCCCCTACTTAGAGCTATGACAAGCAATGTCACTTAACTAGCTCAGTCTAGACTCAAATTACCATTTAAGGGACCTGAATATGTGCAAGTCTATACAGCCTGGTCTGTGAGAAATGAAGAGAAAAAACAAAGAAGATAGAAAATCAAAAATCAATTAAAGGAATTATCATGTGTACAAGTATACTATGGCATTAACTTATGAAGACATAAGACATTTCTAGAGTTATGAAACTGAAACCTTTTGGAAAATATACCATGTGTTTCATAGGAAAATTATTTTTTTTTTACTCAGGTTAAAAAATGGGCAGATGATTATTTCACCCTTCCCCTCCTGCCCCTAATTTTTGCTATGGCATTCCTAGCTCGCAAATGTTTAGAGGAGAATTTTCAGAGTCTGAAAGCAGGATGTTGGACTGGGTCTCCACATCACATACTTTGAAGGTCGTTCTTTTATTTTTGGGGGGTGGGGGAGGGTGTCATACTGATTTTGGCTGGGATGGAGTTAATTCAACTGAGAAACCAATACAGTGTTGCCTCTTGAATTTAGTATGAGAATAATGTTGGCAACAAACTGATGTTTCAGTTGTTGCTAAGTAGTGCTTAGCCCAAATCAAAGACTTTTCAGTTTCCCATGGTGTCAGTGAGGAGGTACGTAAGAAACTACAACAGAGTGTGGCCAGGAGACAGGTGAATCAAACAGGCCATAGGGATATTCCACACCACAGATCATGGCCAGTAGATAAACTGCTGGGAACTGGTCTGGAGGATGGGCTGGGCATTGGTCAGTGGCCAGTGAGCAATTTTTTTGTGCATCCCTTGTTTCTCTTGAGTTTTATTACTCTCTCTCCTTTTCATTACTATCATCATCATCATTAGCATTATTCAGTTATTAAACTGTTCTTATTTTGACCCCAATTCTCCTACTCATCCCACTGCTAGGCAGGGGAGGATGGAGTGAGCCAGCAGCTGTGCAATACTTAGTTGAACTGGGGTTAAACCAAGGCAAGTTGCAACTCACGTAAAGCTGTGTTTTTAAATTTGCAACTAATTGGTCCGCACATTTCATAATCAATATTCACAAAGGTTTCCTTCTGCCACAGTGAAAATAAAATTATCATTCCTCGGTCATGTATCATTTATATTCATGAGCAGTAAGTAAATATTTAGATTTCAGAGTGAGGGCTAGAAGCATCAGCTTTGTAACCACATGGGCAGTCCCTTAGGTACACTCAACTTACTTTTCTGAAGCATTCAAAGTCAAGCACACACTGCAGTTCTACAAACACATGTATTTTATATACTACAGCAATACATCAGAGCAGCAGATGATATTGCAAAATAAAAACAGTGGAATACCTGATCCTCTGTGCTTTCCTTAAACCAAGCCTTCAATTTAAAATGTTCTCTACTACATCAGAGAAAGTAGCCCAAATGACAAGAAAGTCCTGTAAGAAAAATTCCACAGCTAGGAAGAGATAATTTGCATTAATATGTATACAGAGTGAAAATACTGGTCCAATTGCTTATAACCTTTTTAGCTTTAGCAAAGGTGAAGAACATTAGCTGTACACCTGTAATCATAAACTGAAAAGGAAAAAATGAATAGCTGAAAGACCCATAGCATTCTCAGAAACTTCTGAGATGTTCAATTTAAAAACAATAAAGATTTTCACAACAAAATGCACGGTTTTCAACTTGATCAGATCTTAACTAGACAGCAACTATGACACCAACTGATGATGAAACAGCAAGCCTGAGGACAGTAAAGAGTTGCTAAAATGCATGTGCATCCCCTACATTTTATAGGTTTTACTTTAAATAATTCTCAAAACTGAGAAACTCAAAGCAAGATGAAATGTGAAACAGGAAGGCTACAAAACGGATCCTGTAATTCTGAATTCCCCAGGTACCGATTAATCCTTCAAGGAAGAGAAGAAAACCCACTGCTGAAACAACCGGGTCACACTTCACATCAGCACTGGACGAGTACAGAAAGCAGCTCAAGGACCAAAGGGTCACACTCCCAACACCATGAGATGTTCTAAGTTGCTTCTTTTCCAGGTCGCCACCAGGCACCACGCCAGACCATTAACACGTATACATGCTGGCAAGGCCAAAAAAAGTTCGCAGATCACACAAACCTTGCAGAGAAGCATTTACAATCGATAACACTGAGAAGGAATAAAAAGCAATTTAAAAATGACCTCAGCCACAAAGGTTGGCCAGACATTTTACCCCTTTCCCACGGGGGCAAAACAGGAGGGTAGCGACCCCTCTCAGCACTTTACCCACCCCTGCACGGACCCGAGGGCAGCCCCAGCTCCCCCCGCCCTGCCACGGCACGGGGGAGACGGGCGGGGACTGAAGGGAGCCGGAGCAGCCCCCGCCGCCCCTCAGGGCCGCAGATGGGACAATAGGAGAGGTGACGACAGCGGCCGCGGCGTTAGCAGCAGGGACGGGGGCGGGGAAGAAAGGGGGGTGGAGGAAAGGGCGGATCCGCATCCGGGCTCGCCCCGCTCCCTGACGCGCTCACTCACCGATCATGGCGGCGGCGGCGGGCGCGGGGGAGGAGAGGGGCGACGCGTGCGTGCACGCGCGCGCACGTGCCGGCGGCGCCCGCCGCTCGAGCACTTCCCCTGTAGCCGCCCTGGGGGGTCGCGCGCGACGGCGGGCAGGGTGGGCCGGCCCTGAACGCGCATGCGCCTTAGCGAGGGAGGTGGAGGCGCACGCTGGGCTCTCTGGGTAGCGTAGTTTTTGGCCGGTGTCACAGCCGCCCACGCTCTTCTCACGTCATCGCCGCACATTTCTCCCCCACACCGCTAATGACTTTCTCGTTAATTGCTGTCCGCCGCCCGTATGTACGGTGCATCGGGCGTAGGTACAGCTGTACGGGGCCGGGCGATGCCGACGGGGCTCTCTGTGATTTCCCTCCCGCTTCCCCGGCGGGTTGTTGACGCGTTGCCTGGCGACGGTCGCGTGGCCGAGGGACCGCGCGTGGCGGCAGGTGCCCAACGGAGCCCCAAAGGGACCCGCAGGGCCGGACCCGGCGGGGGGACAGCAGCGGGCGGACGGACAGGGGCGAGGACCCCCCGAGGGACAAGGACATCAGGTGGTGATGAAAGGGCTGGGACACGGCGGAGGAGGGGGACGAGCTGGGATGATGCAGAAGGGAACTGGGGACGAGTGGCAGACAAAGGGGGGCCTGTGAGGGGCAGGGAAGACGCGGGACGGGTGTGTGGGGCTGTCGCTGGTTGTGCGGGGAGCGGAGTCGGACGTGCTGCCTGCTCTAACTCGCTGGGCGCGGGACGCTGATGTTCGCTTGTTTTTTCCAGTCCGTAATTTGCCTCTGGTCCGTCGCGGGTGCCGGTGGGGAAATGGTAATTGAGGAGGGGGGCCCCGGCCCCTCAAAGCCCGCAGGTGACAGGCGCCCCCGGCAGCGGGAGAAGAAGGACAAGCAGCAGGACAAGCAGCAGGCCTGCGAGGGATTCAGTATTAGAGCCATGATGAAAAACAGCGTGGTAGGTTTGCTGCTGGCATAGAGGTGATACTAATTAACTCAACTTACCCAAGAAGCATAGCGAGATAGATAAAACATGTCAGCAAGGTGTGCAATTTGCTAATACCTTATCTGGACTTTGCCTTGATGCTGAAATTACCCTCAGACTTTGCAAAAGTATTACCACAAGGTAACTGTGCCTGTGGAAGTCGTGATGCTTTCACCAAGTGCTTTGCCTTGGTACCATAATTTTTCTTTTTTGTATGGTTTTGTGTTGGAAGTGCACATTCTGCTAAGCTGCCAGCCTGTAGAATTGTGTGTGAGGCTTACTGCCTCTCACTTAGCAAAATGCTGTCAAGTGGTAGTGCAGTATTTCTCAAAAGTTTTCATACACTGGCATAGTGTATAAAATTGATGTGTCACATAGGATGGCAGAGGTCTGGCAAACAGATTAACGGATTTTTAAAACAAGCCTGGAAAATAACAAAAAGCTTCCACATCATCTAGGAGAATACTAAATAAACGTTAGTTCTCCATCTTGTAGTTCAAAGACAGAGAAATTGATCCAACAAGTAACAGTCACAATTTCTAATGAACTTAGAGGCTTGGGAGTTAAAATAGTAGTATAAAGTCCCTTCAAATCTCTTTTTACTGTTTTATTTGTCTACCTTTATCAGAATTTAGGCATTAAAAAGCTTCAACTAGTACAGAGTAAAATGTTCAACATGTAAGTGGATGAGGTAATATTACCATACATCTCTGCCTAAACTCCTAAATTGTGTTCTTCATTTGGACACAATTCAAGGTGTTAGCAAAGGCTTGAGCCCTCAAGGGTTTTTTTTTAAATCTATACAGTATTCTGACAGCTGTTATGAAATACGTTGTTTCCCTCTGTTTTGCTGAAGTGATCTTCCTGGAGCAGTCGCTCTGATCTTGTTATCTGCAAGAACATTCTCTTAAAAGCCCAAACAATCATATCTTTAAAGAAATTTTAAGTAGAGTAAAAGTTGTGTACCAGCAAAACTTTCTTCTTATTTGTAAAACTAAAATATATTTCACCTTACCTGGAAAAACACAAGGTGAACACAACCAAAAAATCCCTTTGTTTTAAAGATTGGTTGTTGGTTTGTTTTTATTCTGGAGATGTATGGAATAGACTATAATACTACAGCAACCTTTAGGATTAATTTTTGAAATATGTTTCCTGTTCTGTGGAAAAAAATCAAGTAATGGATATTTGCCCATGGTTGTTTACACCTAGATATATAAAAGATGATTTTGTTTAGAAGAATCAGCAGTTTCAGTGGAGTTTGAGAAATACATACTTAATTTTAAAAAAGGAGCTGTGACTTGTGAACATAACTATGAGTTTAATCAGAATTTAGGTTTTCTTTTAAATATTTATAGAATATTAACTTTTATGGCTGCATTTCTAATTTCCTAAACATGAACAGAACATTAAATCATATGATACTGTCATGAAGCAACTGCACACAGGTAAATCTGCTGCCTTTGCAGCTACTCAATAACAGAAATTACTTTCTTTGTCATGGACATCTGGAAATTATTTAACCCAGCTTCCCACTTGAAGTGGGCCTGTCATCAGCACTCATATCAGGTCAGTGATGGGTTTTCCTGGCTAAACTGTGAAACCCCCCAACATCAGGGTTTGCCTGACCTCTCCAGGAAACCTGTTTCATTCCTGCCCTTCTTGTATGCTCCCTTGTCTGCCCTCAGCCCTGTCAGAGCTCGGGTTTACAGTGTTCTGACCTGCTGCACACGTTCTACTCATATCTGGGTTGGAAGCTCTGAAACTCTTAGTGGTCTTGGGAGATTCACAGTGCCAGGGCTATGTTTTGCAAAAGCTCCAACTGCAGTCAGGCAGCCACCAGAATAATTTCCAGTCAGTGTGCAAAAAAACCAGGATAGAGTAAGGAATATCTCACTGCCACACTGTCTGTGCAGAAGTGGGAGTTCCTTTACTCTTTTTGAACTACTTTGTAAATGGAGCTTTAGATTTATTAAGTACTCACTTGTCAGAGGTTGACATCATTGAAGAAGTTCTCATAGAAGGCTTAGGAGTTGACTGGAAGGTTAGAAACACAGTAGGAATATCTAGTTAAGACATGGTAATTCTTTTTGTTAACAGCATGATAAGGCATAGGGTTAAACGTGTTTGGCATCTCCAGGTCAAACAATGAGGTATTGATTAATAGCCTTTGGTGCAAGCATGTAGTTAGTCTTAAATTCTTAGTGTAGAGTATTAAGAGATTACCATTATGCATATATGACGGTAAATATTGTAGTAAATGTTCCAGAATTCTTTTACATTGCTTGGGCAAAGAGTGCTTTACTAAGCTGTTTTTCATTCGTCTTCCTGAATAGTCTGCTTTCATAGTCAGTAGTAAATGCTTAGTGAAATACAATGCTTAAATATTCACCTAAAAATGGTCCTGAACTGAATAAAGTGCATAAGTTGTTCCAAAACTATTAATTTATATAGAAATTTAGATTAAAAGCAGGGTTCAATAAAGGTCTTCTATAATAACAATCTACATTTGCATTTTAATTGTTTTGTCCTCCAGTGGAATCAACAATGTTATGTGCTCTTACTTCAGAGGTACTACATGTAGAATTATGAATACAGTTAAAAATGAATATATAGACTAGCAAGTATAGAAGTGTCTGAACATGAATGTGAACAGCAGGAAGTTATCTCTGTTCACTTCTGATCCTCTCTAAATGATATTTGCCTATTTTCTGCAACTGTAGGTAAGAGAATACAGCGTTAGTGTCCCACTTTTCTGTAATGTGCCAGTGGTAAAAGCAGTTTTTTTAAGGACAGGATTTATTTTAGTACTTAAAGGAAACAGTAGAAAGGTAATTCCTATCTCCCAAGTTTTGAAGTTTATTACATTCATCAGAAATTCTGACATCACTCAGAAACTGCCTCCAGGAGCAGGCCACAGGGAGAGAATGAGAGCATTTACTAGATGGCCTTAGAAAGGAAGGGGTGCTAAAAATTGTTTCTAGATTTCTAATACCAAAGCACCTGTTCAACCTTAGAGAGTCTTAGCTATGTGTAGGGCACAGCTTTCATCTCCTAAAAAAAGTGCAATTGCTGCTAGGCAGAAAAATGGTTATTTGTATTGCAGATCTGGATTCTCATTCTTCCGTTCCGCATTTAGGATTCTGCAGCCTGTATGTATTGGGATGAGTTTTCAGTCTTTGAACTTGAAACGCTTCTTTCAAGCCGTTTTCAGTAATGTGTGTTGTGAAGGGCTTTCTTACCCTTTACCATTTGATAATATCTCATAGCAAAAGTTTCATTTTAACCATAATGTGATTTGTTTATGTTCTGAACTTTTTGATTTGTCATTACATTTATATTCATCCACACTGTGTAACCAAGGCTACTTTTGTTATTTACCTTGTAGCAGTCAAAGTTTCTGATTTGATTTTGAGGCTATAGGAAAGAATACGCGAAAGAAGTTGTATCTTTTGATTATAACAGCTAATTTATTAGAAATAGCAATGTGTTTTGGGGAAAATAGATGTCAAGTTAAAAGAGTGTTTTGATAAATGTATATTGAGAAGTAGCACATCTGGTTTGGAGGAACTTCTACAGTTTAACAGTAGCAATTGTGTACAATCTACAAGTGCACTTCAGTGAACACTGTGAGACAATTTAAACTGTCAGTGCTCTGGAAAGCAATCCTATCTTCTTCCTCTCTCAGGCTGTTTAGTACTGCTGCCCGTTGTTATGTCCTCATTTGTACAATGTTGGCTGCTCAGAGAACTGATCCTGCTGAAAATACTCCAGCCTGTTAAACCTCACAGTGTTGAACTGCTGTCTGTGGGATTGAGGCAAACAAAGCTTCTGCTTTGACGAGGTTCATCTGTTTTGCCCTTCTCCCTGTCCTGACTGTGTGCTTCCATCTCTCCTTTTGCACTGACATTGTTTTTTCCTGCAAATATTGAGTAAGATGGATCAGCTGTAACGGCTCTTAAGTTAATGTATGCAACTAGAAGGGAAGCAGAATAATGTCAGCACAAGCTGTGTGTGTGGGAATGTACCCTTTTGGCAACATTGCAGTCTTAATTAATTTAAAACCGGTTAGGATATCGAGTTCTAGCAGGGTAACTCCACAAGCATTTACAGCAGCATAAACTTGTATTGAGACAATTGAGAGGTGTTGTTTTTATCCCTGGACATTTATTCTTTGCGCAATATGAACTTTTGTATGGCTTTGCAGTGAACTGGACAGAGGCCCTGGTTAAATCTAGATTAAAAGCAGGTCAACTTTTCTTTATTTAATAGAATTTTAATAGACTTGACATACACTTTGATAGCAGTGTAAGCTCACAAAAGTTGTCACTGCTACAGCTGTGCCTGTGTCTGCTGCCTGTTTGTACCGCCTCCTTTGTGCCAGTACACAGTCATCCCACTGGATTGATGAGGCACTTCGGTTGCATTAAGCTCAAACATGAAAAGCTTCAACAAAAGAAGGTTTTTATTTCCCCTCATAAAGCTAGTTTCCATTCCAATTCCATGCTGGTATTTACTGTAATGACCTCTTTGATAGTATAATGTAAAAGCAGAATATACAGAAAAAATACTAATGCTTAAGACCGTAATTTCCTCAAAAAGCTCCTATTTCATATTATGTTTTTCAGCTATAACCTAGATGGCTTAATCATGCTGCTCTTATTTTAAAATACTTCAAGGTCAGCACTTTATTTTTGTGAATGTGGTGAAAGGTTGGTTTTGTTCATAGCTGCAGTGTGAGGATGAAAAGATCAATTTCTTACCATGAGCATGAAGAAATCATGCTACTTCATTTATGAAAATCATTTTACATTTGAATCTCCAGTAAATCTTCTAATTCAGTCATATGATTTAAAATAGTTAGTAAGTAAATTATCAGTTAGATTGTTTTGTGGTTTGACAATTCTTGTATTAAATCACTTCATTTGATTCATGATATTTTACACAGAAAAAGACATGAGGTTTTAAGTTTC